AAGCTAGGAATCGTAGGAATGGACTCGGAACCCAATTAGTTTTACTTTCTAATGAGGTGATTTCGTCCGGTGGTTACCAGGTTGGCTCCGAACATCTTCAGGATTTAGGATAACCTTGATTTCGGAACACTACGAAACATTAATTAGTTTTCAATAATAAATTCTTTTTTTTTAAAAGAGAAGATTTTAATGATTAAAGCAACTGGTAACCGTTGGTTTACGTAAAAAGGAGTCAGAACTTTTCTTCCATATAGCAGTAATCGTGGGAATCGGTCCTGGAATTTATTCTTCGCCCAGCTCTACTCTGGGTAGGCTATCAACTCTACAGTTAACGCATGTCCGCTGTGAGCGCCTATGGGTAGTGTGTAGGCTATCAACAACAATACAGTTAATAAACTATCAATAAATGAGGTCACTATTATCACTTCGATTTCGTATCCTGCTATAACAGCATCAATCACAAGCCCCATTATTGTCTAAAGCAGTGCTTGCCGACCTGGGAAATATCGCCCGGCAATAAGTGGGCAGTTTGGCGCTTTTGCAGGGCGATAGTGACAGTTGTTATTTTATACCCGGCTTGGGAATACTTATACATGTACCTGCAGTTGGACTGTATGAAAATCTTAGCCTCTTAAAGGTGGCAAATCGGGGGCTCTCGTGGCCTAGAGTTTAAAGTCTTCGGCTCTCATTCAAAGGTCCCGGATTCGAATCCGGGTAGCGACCGAAAAAAATGTCCTTCTCTAAAATTGTCTTCTTTTACCCTCTTTCCTGCTCTCTAGCAATGTTCTGTCGTCTGCTTTCGTCTTCACTTTCTGCCCCTACCCCCTCACCCCCTCACCCCCTTTGCCCCCTCCTCTGGGCTTCTGGCTCTTTCTGCAGCCTTTCTACTCCTACTCTTTGACTCCTTCTTACTGCTGTCTTTCCGTCGGACAAGGGCGAAAAATCTCGGAGGCCCCGTGTTCAAGCTGCGCAGGTAAAGATCCCTTGTTGGTCCAAAATCAATAAGAGTAGGCTAGGGCCGCCACCCGGGCAAAATTCAAAATTTCAAACCAACTGAAAATGTCCAATGTGTCCCGCGCGCTCATATGATTTTATGCAGTTGCGAGCGCCGTAAAACACTTACCAAAGAAGAAGTTCACAGCCCTGATGTTTGAGTAAGCGGACTCATGGTAAAGGTAAACTTACCCCCCCCCCCCCAACCTCAATAGGAACTTATTTGTCTCAGTGCACAAAGCTGGCGTCCCCACTCTCCATGAGAGTACATCAGAAAGGAAGCTCTCGGGGCCACACTATTGGGTCACCGTGAGATCTACAGGAAAGACACCTTTGGCTTACTTTAAGAATGGAGAGTGCAAAGTAATTTTTGCTGT